GGCCCGTTGCTGATTTGATTTTGAGTTTATAGCCCAGCGTAGCTCGCTTGCGAGGAATACAGAGAAGGAGACAGTGCGTCCTTCGTTTGTGAGGAACGCGGAGAAGAAGACGAAGCGGCTTATTCGCCAGATGCCATGGGGATTGCCGCCTGCTGCGATTGCCGATTAAAGGGGCAGAGGTCTTCTCCGCCAAACCGACCTGCTTTTCTAAAGAGACTGCCTGATGCGACGCGTCAGTTCGTCAGGCAGGCCGGGCGAGGCGCTGTGTCGCCGCCTTCCGGGTTTTGACCGAGGCGAGGCCAATGGCCGATGGGTTCTGGCCGAGGCGATTCCAATGGCCGATGGTGACTGATTTTGCAGGTTTGGACGGAGGTCCTGTTTGGCAGAGGTGACCCAGAGTTCCTGATTTGGTTGAAGAGTCTGTGAATTGGCTCCGATGGGAGCTATGGACGAGGGGGTTACCTTCACTCTGGCCGAGGTATTTCCGATCCCATCTGACTGAAGGTGGAGGCTTTGCCGAAGTGAGCTTGTCTGGAGCGGAGTCCCGGCCTGTTTTGGCCGGTGCGGTCCAGACTATGCGGTCCGGACGATACGGTTGCTTGATGAGGTGGCCTGTTTTGGCCGATGCGGTCCGGGCAATGCGGTCCGGCCGATGAGGTGGTTTGACGAGGCGGCCCTGTTTTGGACGATGCGATGTCCCCCTTTTTGGCCGGTGCGGTGCGCCGATGTGTTGCCGGCCGAAGTGGTGCCGGCCGATGGATGACATCCGATGAATGTTGGTCGATGAGGAGCCGGCTGATGCGTGGCAGCCGATGCGGGTGCCGGCCGATGGGGTGCCGGCGGAAGTGGTGTCTGCTGAAGTGGTGGCCGGTGCGCGGTGGTCGATGTGTGACAGCCGATGCGGACTGACGAAGGGTGGCTAGCTGCACAGCCTTGTCCGTTGCGCCGCAAACGTGCTTCCTTTGGCTGATGCGGTCGGTCTATGTGCCATCCGATGTTGCCGATGGCTGATGATATCTTTTCCTTGGCCGAGGGAGGGTGTTGAAGAAGCTTTCCCTGGCCGAGGGTTCCAACTGGCCGAAGATGCGGCTCTCCTGACTGGGGCCGACGTGAAAACACCTCACAGTTTTGGGACGATGGTGATACCTCTCGCTAGCTAGTGGGGTAGACGAAGGGCCTTATTTGTTTGGCCGAAGTGTTAAATTTCGTTGACTGATCTTTTTTGTTTTGACCCAAGGACAGCAGGAGGCTTTTGGTGGCCGAGGGGTCAACTTTGACTCACTGGAAATTTAAGGCTCTTGCTCCAGGATTTCCCCACTCTCCTTGAGTTTGCTTCCTTTGAGCCGATGTGATGCTAAGTAGGTAGGTGGTGGAAATTATTCACCTTGGCCGAGGAGTACATGACATACGAGGTGAGGTGCATGTTAACTCTGTTGGGGCCGAAGAACTCTATTTAGTTATTGGTTGGGAGTATCTCACTTGATATGTTCTAGCTCTCAATGAAAGCATCAAATGATAGATTATTTAATCTAGAGAGAAGGGAGAGCTAGAGAGATAAAGTGATATGTATAATGAATTCCAATCAACCATTCAACCATCCCCCTTTACATGGCTCCCATAGGGAGTATTTATAGGAGAAAAGTGGGCTGGGCTTCCAGGCTTGGGCCTGGAAGGCCCAACTACAATAAAAGGCTAATAAAGGGCTAATAAATGATATCTAATCTATTCTAATGGATACATCTGAATAAATAAAGTGTACAATGAGATAAATGCTATCTACTGAGCGTATGTGGGCCGCTGTCCGGGCCCAATAGCCGAAGAGAAGCGATAACCTACAAAGGAAGAGAAAGAGCAACACGAGCAGTCCTGTGCTCTACTTTGCCAAAGGAGATGGATTTCCGCCCCAACCTACGCCAAAGCTAAACGGCGGAAGTAGCAAACCCTATGAGAGAGGGAGACAACAACAAACCCTTTCAGTTTTGTTGAGCTTTAGGAAGATCTAATTCGTAAGGATTGTTAACTTTCATATGTAATTTAAATACTCCAAAGTTTATATAAAAAGTTAATTAAGCACCATGTGTTAGTATATATGTCCTAGACAATCATTTTTTAGAGATTGTTGAGGTTTATTCCTTCAACCCTCGGGTTCAACACGTAAGCCCAAGAGTTTCAAGTGGAGTATGGATAGTTAGCCCAACTAACAAGTGAGATGGATTAAGAAACGGTAAGTAGCAAGTAAGTGATTAGGTATTATTAATCTGTTAATAACTCCCCAATACAATACTTTTCGCTAAAGGCTCGTCGGCCGTTCGTCTTACAAGGCAGTAGAAGTGCTGCGAGTAAGAAGGCTATAAGCTAGAATGCTAAGAATAGAAAGTTGCTAACTCCCTACAATGAAATAAATGCTTCTATTTATACCACCAATGGGCAGTTAGCTATGCTGACGTGGAGGACTACGAGCGGATGGAGTCCCAACCACCAAATCTCCAGCATTAAATGCGCTTCCCGCCAGAATCTGGGTTTCCCGCCTAATTCGTGACGACGTTCGTCCAGTTAGATCTGGGGTTGCCTTCAGTGATGCAGCAAAGGGTTGTGGGCCGTTCGTCTACGGCCCTTGGTAGAATCCATCTTGGCGCTGGGGTTGGGCCATCTGCCGAGATGGGTCTTGGGTGGCGACGTTCGTCACCCCCTGTATTAGATGACCTTCGGCCTGGGCTCTCCGTTGCTAGGCCATGGGCGGAGACGTTCGTCTCCCGTCCCTCTGGGAGAAGACGTCCACCTCCTGTTCTCCTGGGTTGTACTCCTCCGGGGCCCAAGACGTTCGTCTACTTAGGGGGAATGGGCCGAACCCCTGTTTGGGCCATTTACCCAACAGAGATATATGTACTTGATCACATTCAGTTTTATACATTTGATATATACGGTATTACACATTGATGATTAAGCATTTTGATTTTTAATGTCTTATTCATAATTGAGTTCAGTGTTCCCCTTGGATTTATGTTGTCACTAAGTAAGTGAGAGCTTATATGATGTAACATAAGGTCCTAAAATAGCTCCAATCGATGATCATCAAGAAAGTGATATTGATGATATGCGATAAGATTAGTATGTGGACTACATCATAGTTTTAGAAAGTATAGTTGATCTCACAACTATGAGTTCTTGTAATTCATGATGATCACATAGATATTTTAGAGAATATTGGCATACCCATCGAGAAATCATTTGATAAGTTCTATTCATGTGTCTGTAGGATTATCAGTGTATAGAGTAGTGTAACAGTCCTCCGACTTGAGGTCAATACATACTACATGTGCAGAGTGATGTACTTTGACCATGATTGATAAGTTCTAATCTGTGGGTTGCTTCCCCTACACAGATTGAGGGGATGTAATAATGTAATTATCTAGGGATTACTTTGTAATTTAATAACTCTGTTCTATTATAAATATAAGGGCACGACACCCAATAGGTAAGCCATTATTTCCCAAATTCTATTGTTTTGTATACGCCCCCATGCTTCTTTTTAGTAATATTTGGATCAGGGCTGATGATGAATGCGTGATGCTCAGCTCCCGAAGCTTTGTTGAACAGAAGCACTAGAAATTTGTGAGGGGAGGGGATAGTGGTTCCAAAACTTACAGTGAAAGCTGCGTACAAAGAACACATAGCCTGTTTTAAATTTGAGAGTTCAGCATGGTGTTCCTGAATCTAGTAATATTAACTCTACAGGTATGTGTCGATTTATAAAGGGACTACTTGGTGAATTGTTAGTGATAACCTACCAAACATGATAAAATAAAATCAATTTTGGATGAAAATGTAGGCTGAACTCCAATTTCTCCAAATGTAATAAAAAAATTGTAGTTCATAATTAAAGTGTTTCGTAAATATTATATCCCGAAACACGAATTGCAGAAAACATCAAAGTAAAAGTAAATTGCAGTAAACAGCAAACTACACTTTTAGTAGAAATACAATAACTTCAATGAGATGTGTTTCCTCTTTTTCTCTCCATCTCTGCTAAAAGTTGTCTAGTCGTAATTGTTGATGCCCCTTGCCATTGCAAACCTGGTGGTTTAAAAGGCAAGGTAGTTGAAATCCTCACTTGGTGATCATTTCCTTTGAAGGGTATTACCCTTTCGATGGTAGGATCCACAGATGCAGCAACTTTTTCCCTTCTAAACTCTCTCATTAGGAATTGCAAACCGCACATTAGGATCTTGATTTGCTGGCAGTGGTGTGTCACCCACTGATAATGTCACTTGACTTGTCATCCCAGGCTAGAAGGAAGTAGTTAAATATAAATATTATATTATGCCAAATATAATCCAAAGAAAAAAACAATTTAAATGAATAAGTCATGAATACACACTTTTTCCAAAAAAAAACAAAGTCTAGAATACGCACATTGTATGTAGTTTGTCCCGTACCCACATCCACATAGCATCCATATCCATATACACCCTGTTTACTCCTCTCTTTAGAAATCCTTCTTGGTGCATATTTTGATAATTCAGTTGCATTCACTAATGCGGCTTCATTTGCAGGTCTGTTGCTTGTGACTGGAGAAGAGGCAGAAGGTTTTGAAGTGCACATATTAACCACAGATGTTCCTATATGATCACCAGGTCCTGGTACTCCGCATGTGCTCGTTTAAAAAACAACAATAACAACAATACAGCCATCAATACAACCACCAATAACAAAAATAATTAGTAATAGTAATAACTATAATAATAACAATAATAATAAGTGGTTATATAACAACAATACAGCCACCAATAATAAAAATAATTAGTAATAGTAATAATTATAATAATAACAATAATAATAAGTGATTATATAACAAAAAATGACATTGCTGAAGAGAATGAAAAAGTTAATACAAAGAATGAAAACGTACAGCGTGCTCTTTGTTTGGACATTTAGTTCTTTTGTGCCCTTCCATTCCGCAAATCCCACAAGTTTGAACTTGTCCTTTCCTTGATGCTATACCTTCATGCTAAGTAGGTGCTTTTGTTCCACTTTTTGAACCATTTGGTTCATTTGAAGCCCTACGACGCTTATCATTTGGTCTGCCTATGCTTGTAGTCATAGGGGGGTTCTATAGGCTCAAAATCATGTATTCTCATAAACATCTTACCAGGCACAGGCTGTAATGAATGTTCATAGGCTGCTTTGTACAATGATTTATGATACCACATTGATATGTGTGAATTGGGGTTCTCTTTATTATAATGCAATGCGCATATAACATGGGAACGTGGAATTCCAGTTAGATCCCATGTTCTACAGGTGCACACCTCTTTGTCTATAAACACCGTATGCTTATTTCTCCCTTCACCTATCTCAAATCCTACATCACCATTGTAAATGACTTTACAACCAGTTGCTGCATCTTTATTATCTAAAAAAAACTCCATAGATGATGGGGACCAATCATTTACCCATTTCTCAAAACTAACCTTGAAAACTTTTATCCTATTCATACATTTCAACCTGATATCTTCAAGCATGCTAACTATAGATTTCCTTCTACACTCAACGATCCATGCAATAAAAGATTCAGTTATGTTATTATCCACAATCCATCACTTACTTCTGCTGCTAAAAATGCACGAACAAATGTTTGCTCAGAATATTTGCGTAAATCTTGAGCTGCTTGTTTGCTTAATTCACCCAACTTCTGTAGATTCTCCTCAAACTCTTCTTCAAAACTACTCCAAGCACATGCCCAAAATTTCTTCTTAAACTCTTCACCTCTCCATTTTTTTGACCAGTTGGCGTATACATGCCTAGCACAGAATCTATGCTCTACATCTGGGATAACAAGACTCACAGCACCAATTAATCCCTGTATACAATCATACATACAAAAATATAAAGTTAGTATGTTCATTAAATGGAATCTTATTTAACTTAAGTAATAGGTATTAAACATTTTAAACCTTTTGCATGTCGATATTATAGTTAATGTTGAATCATCTCCAAGATCTAGCTCTTGTTGTAGCCAACACAAGAACCATTTCCAGTTCGCCTTATTCTCCTTATCAACAACAGCTCAAGCAATAGAGATCATTTTTCCATCTCCGTCTACTCCAATAGCTGTAAGTAATACACCTTTGCATATACTTTTCAAAAAACAACCATCTATGCCAGTTATTCTCCTACATCCTGCCAACCAATTCCTCTTACATGCTTCAAAGCATATAAACATTCTTCTAAATACTCTTCTACCTTCTGAAAGTGCATCTTTATAAAGCTGAATTTCTGCCTTTGTACCTGGATTACTCTTCTTTAGTATTGCACAATAAGCTTCTAGGTACCCAAACTCTGCTTTGTAGATTCCATCAAGCTCTTGAATGATCCTTCTCTTAGCCCTCTTACACTTATGAAAGCTAGCATTTACTTTCAATTTTTCTTCAGCCTCTTTTCTCATATCTTGCACTCTAAAAGTGGGGTCCTTGTAGATTGTTTCTTTAAAGTAATCAGCTAACCACTTCTCACTAACACTAGGAAGATCAAAGTGTCTAAAACACTTATGTTGTGATTCAATAACCTTTACTGCTAAACCAAGATTTTTTCCATCCTTTGAAATCCATATCCTAAATGGACATTCATCTTCATTACAACAACAAGGACTCAATCTGAATTTTTCATTCGGTTTAATCTTTATCTTATATCCATATTTAACACTGTAATTTGCAATTGCTTTCCGAGCCTCATCAGCATTTTGAAAGGTCATTCCAACCATAAAGTACTTTGTTCCATCTTCAGCATCATATTTAATCCTCTCTTCAGCTCGATCAAAAAAATCAGCTTCACTTTCTGAATTTTCATCGTCCTGAGCTTCTTCAACATCACTGGGGTCTTCTTCTGTTGTATACCCCATTGGCACGCCTTCAAAATTGACATGAGTACTACCTGGTGTAGGAATTTCAAATTGATGTGAAGAAATCCTATCTTCTTCTTCTTCAATCCCAACACCACATACGTTACCCGTGAAATCATGTGTGTGAGCCCAAAAACTCCAATCATCACATTCAATCTCCAAATTATGCTTACCAAAAGTCCAATCTTGGGCAGTGGACACGATACTAGCCCCATCTTCATTGGTTGGTCTTTCAAGCCCTAGTATTTGTGGATAATACAATGGTACATCCACATCATGATCGGCATAAAATTCAACATTTGAAACCCAACAATTATTCCGAATATGATTCAACACCATTCTCACACTATCATCATCATGCACAAAGTATAAACCATCATTTAAATCCTTTCCTGGTTCTAAAATAAATATCTTTGTGCAAGCCTTAAACTTCAAGTCAAGCGTATATGTTCTTTTTATTTGTGCATACGACATATAGCTTGAATATTTATTCAAAACAGTATACACATCTCCGTCTACATACTCTATCTTTCCCGTGGCTTCATTTTTATCCCATCTACCACCATAATTGAACTTTATATTCATGAAGCCATCCATGTAAATAAAACCAGAGAATCTCTTTAAAACACCCAAAAAAATTCCAGCCTAGTATGAGATTACCTAATCCAGTAATCCGCCATAAAGTTGTTCTTCCTCCTCCTTCGGTCCTTTGTTATACGAAGAAGGTGAAAGGCTTAGGGTTTTGAATATGTGGAAGGCTGAGTTGGAAGGCTCAGGTTTGTTACGTAAGTTCAAGCGGCAAAAGTATCCCTTTTTAAAGTTTGGATCCCATTTTTTCTGGTATCTTTTTTTAAATGTAAAACATATTTTTTTAACGTAAGGAGATCTGTTGCCGTTAGTGGGTGGCTAGAATGCCAAGTATGTATTTAATTTAATGCTATTTGCTCCTAATAAAAGGTTAGTGACTTATTTGCACTTTCACCCCTACCATAGTGGCTAATTTGCCCCCTTTCCCGGAATTACCGGATGACTGTGAACAAGACATGCTAAAGTGAGAAATTGCACATTTTTAGGAGTTCAAGACCTAATTGGGTCTTTTTAGTAAGATGGTCTAATTGACTTTTTTGAAATAGTAAGAGAACATATTTGACAGTTTTTCCAAAAATTGATTTTAAGAGTAAATTAGAGCACCAAAATCACTTCTGCACTTTTACCCAAACATTTCAACTTTTACTCTTTTACCTTAAAAGAGTAAAAGTAGTTTTAAGAATCGGATCCAAACAACCGAGGAAAGTAAAACGACAAACATCCATATCGCGGCTGACTAAACCGTTTTTACCCCCTCTCTATATACATACATACTACGGGAGTGTTTGCAACTTAAAAAAAGTACTTATTTGCAAAACACTACCAATTTTTACTTTTTTTCGGCTTGCGTGTGAAAAATGTTTTTCCCTTTTCTATTATACAAAAAGGACTAATTTTACCAAATACTACCAACTTTTACTTTTCAAAATCACTTTTTTTCACAAACACTATCAACTTTTATTATGAATCACTTTTTCCTTACATCTCTAAAATTGTTTTTAATACAAAAACAATTGCAAACATTTACATGCCAAGAAATGGACATTTCTCCACCTAATCGCCGCCACTAGCAACTAGTCAAAATCACACTGACGCTGTAATTCCACGCGCAATGGTTACGCGTGAACAACCAAAGTTCCCCAACAAAACATTTCGTACCAAACGGAAGACTCAAAAGTGATGCCAAAGAAAAAATGCTAAACTCTCTCTTCTCATTTGATCATCCTCCACTCTTCCCCTCTTTCCACTTTCTTTTTTCCGGCGGCCATTCTTCCTGCCGGTTTTATCTCCCGAATCCGACCCATCGATGGAAACATCTTTAAAGCCTCGCGAAAATCACAATCCGCCTCTAATGTCTTCTTCCCCTGACAGCCTTAGAACCAACAGCTCAAGCAGCAGCACCAGTAGCACCACCCACAGCAATGGCCTCCCGCCGGCGCCGGCTCAATCCCAGCGCCCGCCTGTACTCCCAGTCACCAGATCCGAACCCAATAACCCGTTCCCTACCACCTTCGTCCAAGCCGACGCTTCCTCTTTCAAGCAAGTAGTCCAAATGCTCACCGGATCCTCCGAGACGGCCAAGCTCGCCACCGCATCCGCCAGGCCCGAACCTTCAAGAAACCCGATCCCGCCCGTCAAGACCGGCACGAAGAAGGAAAAGTCCGGGTCAAGGCTGTACGAGCGGAGAAACAGCCTCAAGAATTTCAAAATCAACCCGTTGGGTCCGGGCGGGTTCGGGTTATGCGGTTCCCCCCGACCAGGAACGCCGGATTTATTGTCGCCGAGCATGCTCGATTTCCCGTCGTTGGTGCTTAGCCCGGTCACTCCACTGATACCCGACCCGTTTAACAGACCCCCCACTCTGAATATGGAGGCTGAAGATAAGGCAATCGCCAAAAAAGGATTCTACTTGCATCCGTCTCCGGCGAGCACTCCTAAGGATTCAGAGCCGCGGCTCTTACCACTGTTCCCACTCACCTCTCCTAGAATCTCAGATTCTGATCATTCTAATTCTTAAGTGAGTTTTTTTTTCGTTTCCCCCAATCTGCTGCTATAATTAAGAATGTATCAGTTCTTCTTCACTTGAGTCTTGATGTAAGATTCATAGCTATAAATCTCATAGATATTATGTAGTATTATGCACTGTATCTGTTATGAACATCTTGAGAAACTGGAAAAATAATTAAGAAATTGCATCAAGTATAAATAAAATACTTGTTGGTGATTTTGTTGGTTAGGATGGTGTTTTCATTGCGCTGGATTTGATCAAGTTTTATGATTGACTGCTGAATCATTTCTTTGCTGAATCAAGTTTTTTTTCTTTGCTATTTGCGTGAGTACACATTGGGCAGTTCTTTGTGTGAATTCAATATGAGTGAACAGTGAGAAGGGGTTGCTTTCAGGTGGGGATGAGTAATGGGTCTAATGGAAGGAAGAGTGGAGGAATGGGCAAGGAATCTTGACTCTATTGCTGTCTTTGTGAAAGGTGGAAGTTATTGCCTACAAAAGTGGCAACCCACTTGGGTAGCCCTACCTTTCCTGGATCCGGAGCCTCTGCCTTGCTTTAAAGCAAGGCAGGGTGTCTGGCTCTTCCGGGCCGTTCGATCGGGAATTGGACGGCCGAAGATGGTGGGCTCCACCTCTTCGCCGATCTCGAGGTCGTCCTCGTCGCCTCCCTACCGTCGGATGCCGCAAGGCACTTTGCCTTATGGCAGAGGATCCTGATCCACCTTTCCTTGCTTATATATAGAGAGTATTTATTTATAGGTGAGAACAGTTGAGAACTTAGGTACCCATTCAAAAAATGGGGTACTGTACCTATCATTCACTTGATTGGTCCACACAAGTATATCAATTTTAATTTAAACTTAAATAATTCAACTGCAACATTCTGATTGGTCCATGTGGACAAAGGCACGGTACCTTTTGGGTACATATTTATATATACGTACTACGTATATATTTATATTTATACAGAGTAATTTTTATATAAAAATAGATACTCTGTATATAATTAAATACTACATATATTTCTATGGAATTTGTTTGAACTTTCGCGTTATCATTTAAGCTTGGATGTTGTTGAATCATATAAGCCACAATTTTTCTTGAGTAAGTCAGCCACTTCACTCAATTCTTTTACTTTCGAGTTTCGACAAATGGGCTCAAAATGAGTTATTGTGTATTTGTGTATACTTGTATACAGGGGCGGAGCCAAGAGAAGGTCAGGGTAGACAACCGACCCCCTGAAAGTTTGAGAATATAGAGCTCGGAAATATCTTCGATTTGATATATTATGACCCCCGTAACTTATTATGAGTAAAAAGTTACGACTTCTGAAAAATCAGCACTATCTAAACCTAAAATTAGCAAAATTAGTTGCCTACTACTGATTATTTTTCCAAATTTTAAAAATAGGGTATAGTATAACTCATTACTTACGTGACATGACTCAGAAACAGAGCAAAAACAATCTATCTTATTGTTATAAGTGTCTATTTTTCTAAACTACGTATAAAACATTCAACTCAAACATTGTTTAAAGGCTAAAGGGTCAAATAGGTATATGAACAAACTTAAAGTGTTCAATTAGTCCCTTATATAGGAGGTTCTGTCCGGCCGTCGCCAATTGAAGCGGTTCCCGATGGAATTTTTTGATGAAATTTTTTTAGCATGTTCTTCATTAAGTCTAGTTTACCCATACCAAATTTCAGCTAAGAATTCAACCAGAAAGGCAGTCAAATGATTTTTTGAAGATAACTGCGCAGTTAAACAATGCAGTACATTTCGAAAAATCATTTGACTGCCTTCCCGATTTAATTTTTAGCTAAAATTTGATATGAGTAAACTAGACTTAATGAAGAAGATGTTCAAAAAATTTCATCAAAAAATTCAACCGGAAACCACTCCAATTGGCGACGGCCGGGCAGAACCTTCTATATAAGGGGCTAATTGAACACTTTAAGTTAGTTCATGTGCCTATTTGACCCTTTAGCCTTGTTTAAAAATGATCCATCATTTTCATTTTGTAGATAGTTGATTTTCGATCCTCTGGACCGTTTTCGGTTCAGCCACTGCGTGTATAGTTGTTAGTATAAGCATTCCATTGTTTTTTTCTCTATTGTTAAGAGAGAGTTATTTGGATAAGTCAGCTCAAATTTTAAAAACTAAATTTGATTTCAACTAAATACATATACTACGTAAGTGTTTTTCTGATGAAGAAATTGTCACAGTTAATGATGTCAAATGGGGCCCATTTGTTTTTATCCTAATTAGGTATGTCTAATTGTGTCTCAGACTCTCCACTACTATGAATGGGTACCAACTGGTATAGAAAACCTTGAATTGTTGGTACTTGGTTAGGACTTGGGAGTGCAAAAATCTACAAAAGGGCATTCTTTCTTCTTGATAAGTAGTGAAGAAGTTTCAGGTGTTCAAAGAGAAGTGTGGTGCAAAATGGGAACACAAATAATTATATATAGTCTTGTTTGGTAGCCTGAAATTGAAGGTAAAGGGGAATAAGTAATAAGAAGTAATAAATATAGTTTTTGGTGTTATTTTGAAAATACGAAATAAAATAAAACACCCTAATTTTCTCTGACATGTGTTTCCACTCTTGACTACATTAGTATATACTGAGTAAAAGAAAATATACAAATAGACTGGTTTTGAACAAATTTCTAAAATATAGATAATAGATCTATTGATTTTGAATCCTTGTTTCCTGTAAATTTGATTTGGTTGTTATTGTGTGGGTACCAAACGGACCCTCAAGGCCTGGGTTGGAAAGATGATTTAGATCAGGGTTACCTTATCCTGTTATGTATTCAAAGTCCAAAAACAGGATAAGGTCTGTTACTCTGTTAGAATGAGTTCTGTTCCAATGGAATGGTCCGGCTTTCATCAACTGAATCATTGTGCTTTCTTTATGCACAGTTGCATTGCACATGCCCCTTTTTCCAAGCCATTTCCCTTTGACTTTTTATTTATTTATTTATTTATAATTTAAAATTAAAGGATCTAAAGAATTTTCCTTTTCTCTTCTGACTGCATTTCATTGATGACCATAATTAATTTGACAGATGGGGTTTTTATTGAAGGGTCAATTCATTTTTAAGACAATTTATTGAGGGGTCGCTCTATTGGGGGTTTTAATTCATTTATTTTCAAGGGTCGATTTATTTTTCGTTCATAAATTATAGGAGTAGCAAAAATAAGGGAAAACAAAATTAATAAAAAAAACAGTTTTCTGGTCCAGCAATCGGCAATTGATGAAGGTGGGTGGACCTCACCGCTGCATTAAAGTGAGTCAAAGTGACAGCTAAATGAGTTCTAAAGCGAGCACGGCCACGAGAGAAGAGACGACTTCAAAACTGGGTGGGTCCGGGATAGTAGAGGGAGGGTCCAACCTAATGAATATTCGTTCATTAACCCGCGTAAATACGGTCGTACCACCAGCTGTATGTAGGGAATGGTACAATCGGGTTTTTTTTACAATTAATTACAATTCCAATGGTAAAGGTCTTCCCCTGTTGTGCTTCTCGCTGATGTCTTGAGAATTGGGGAAGGAGGCGCCGGTTCATATGATGTTGCTCGCCGGCTGAAGTCCAGAGTTCCGATCGTCAATCAATGCTACTGGGATGCTGCTGGCTCGCTGGGATTTCCGATGAAGGAAGACTTCATTGTGGCCTCCAATTCTATCAAAAGAAAAAGTGTCGTGTTCCTTATATTTCTATTCGATTTTAATATTATATTTCAATATTATATTTCAATATTATATTTTAATACTATATTTTAATATTATGTGTTGATATTTTCATCTTATCAATTACTAAGCTTTATGTTATAATTAGAATGAGTACAATGTTTATAATAAATGTGCATTACTTTAAAAAGAATTGAACATACATAATTAAATATTTGAGCACATTAGAAAAATCAAATGAACATACATAAATGAATAAATATATTTGAACATATATGCTCATTTTATACGTTACGTATGACATATCAATGCCTATTTCAAAACTATCACATTACATGAGAGTTGATTATAGACACGAGAGGAGAGCTCATGATACTCAATTGCACGCTTTTAATACTCAATAGAGAGGTGTTGATGCTCAATGAAAAATGTTTGATGCTCAACTAAAGATGCTTATTGTTTTCATATCAATACTCATTTTGTAAGTTACATATGCTCAATTGATATTGATGTTATGCTCATTTTTAAAATATCATATCAATGTATATTTCAAAAGTATTATATTACATTAGATTCGCAGAATAGGTCTAGCGCTAATTAAAAGTTCATTAATGCTCATTTAACATAAACCATTATTTTCATCACAATATAGGAGGTTTGATGCTCAATGAAAATGTCATGACGCCCAACTAACAAACCTTACGATTTTCATATTTATGAATTATGCACATTTTGAAAGTTGTGTATGCTCATTTGATACTGGTATCATGCTCATTTTTAAAATGACATATCAATGCATATTTCAAAATTATCATACTACATTAAATTCGCATATTGAAGTTTATAGAAGTTGATTATAGATATAATTTAATGAGTTTTTGTAAAAGAAAAAAAAAGAAAAAAAAAGTGAATTACAATATACGGAGTATGAAATTGATATCACAATACTCATTATTCGACTCTTAATACTCAGTAGAATACGTTTGATGCTCATTAAAAGTGTATTAATGCTCATCTAACGAAAACCACGATTTTCACTCAAAATACGAAAATTCCACCGTTTTTTAGTTGCGATATCAGCTTTCTTGTAATAACACGATACTCATTATTATACGCCTAATACTCATCAAAATTGGACTATTCCACATTAACAATACACAAATGCCCATTTAGCAGAAACCGCAATTTTTACATTAATTACAAAATTGCCACCAAATTATTTCTCTATTTTTCTATTGGGCCTGTAATTGGGCCGGCTGTAAGTTGCTCACTGTACAGCCGGTGGTACCTGACGTGCACTTTGTCGTGCGTGCACTCAAAATAAATCGATACTAACACTTATACGTAGTATAGGTGAAGTAGAGTTCGTATCCACAGGGAAAGGAACAACTTTCTTTTTATGTAAATAGTAAATAAAGGGGTTTTTTGATTGTTGAGTGATTTAATTAAATTAAACACGAAGATGAACGAGTTATATGGGATTAAATTCAAGAATAAAAGGGACTTGGTCTTGCTACTTTCCACTTGTTGATATATTTTAGTCGATCATTGTTATATCTATAACTTATCCCCTCTCGAATACTCAATCGAGGAGTATATCCAATTCATCGAGGGTAGTTATTAACAACGACCGTTCATTAATAACCCTTACTATTTATCAAATATAGAACAACGCTGTATACCGATATAACAGTAGCTTTTAACCTCTTTAACTCCTTGATGAAATCAATTAAGATTGATAACCTCAACACAACGGTTTCGGTTTAACCAACAAAATTAATCCCTCTTAAGTTTATTAACCACGACCGTGCATTAATAAACCGAAGTTACTTACTTATGAAACCATCAACGTTTAACCATCGGTTCGTTGAACGTTTCTAGTAATAATCAATGTTGGAACGTTAACTAATCGTCACTTAGCCACCCTCCAACATTAATATAGAATGAGATTAAGGGAAGAATTAATAATCAAGAGGAGAAAGTAAGAAAAAAACTCACAACTTTAATAATCAATCAAGCTTCAAGAGCAAAACCAAGAAATGGAAGTTTAGCTCCTCATTTGGAGACTAAACATGCTAAAAGAAATATAGAGAAATGCTATTCTAAACTGAGCTTAAGAGTATAAAGGAATTGGTATCTAAAAGTGAAGGAAATGAGGTGTATTTATAGGCTTTTTGAGGTGCAGGTTGGGTACTCGATCGAGTATATACATATACTCGATCGAGTATGTGTAGAACTTCGAATTCGATCCATACTCGATCGATATTCGGGTATAATTCATAGCTATACCCGATCGAGTATGTCGGTGTACCCGATCGGGTATAGACACTCGATCGTGGGAAAATTTTCTCCTGCATGTTCCTTTGTTTTCGGATCCGATCCGATTTGAAATTTCAACCAGATACCCGATCGAATATATGTGATACTCGACCGAGTATAGACCAAAATCAGGTTTTTCCCTTTTTGTCTTGTGATTTTGCACCTTCTTTCCACTTTTGGGGTTCACCAACTATCCTTTGAGTGATGGTAGACCTGTTTGAGCTCAGAATAAACCTAATCTAAACATTTTACAAGAATTTAACAACTAAACTATTACACCAAAAGTGTGTAATTTCCGAAATGCTAAACTACAAAAAGTAACTAAAAATGCAAACATAAACACGGAAATTACACGTGTATCAAACTCCCCCACACAGTTCTTTACTCGGCCTCGAGTAAAGTCAAATGTTCACAAGTGTCAAGTCTTCCAGAGTTCCAACAATGTTACAAAATAGAAACACAAAGACCACCAAGGATAAAATATGAGTTTTAATGCTCAAATTACAAATATCATCTTGGGTTTTATGGTCTTCTAGTGTTCATCTTCTCCTCCTTTTCTCCTTTTTCTTCTTCTTCTTCTTCCAAGAGATCAAATGAGTTCCTGCACACAGAAAAATATTTCTCTCATATCTCTCATTTTGCCTAGGAGCCTTTTCAGGTTTTCATCCTAGCATCTCTTTACATTTTCCATTCTCCCCACTCACTCATTGTTTTTTTTTGTAAGCCCTTTTTGCTTAGATTTCCCATTTTGTTGGGTTTTCAACTTAACTAGCATTTCTCTTCTTTTATTTATTCTATATTTTTTTTTTTGTTTACAAAGAGTAAAAGAAATCCATGCATAGTATAGGGTAAAAATAAAGTTACATACCATGAAGGGTCTCCTCCCCCACACTTAGATCAAGCACGGTCCCTAGTGCCCGCCTTCTCCGCCGTAGAAGCCGCCTCCAAATCCGCCTCCAAAGCTCCTGTCGCCCATGTGAGCATCCCCGCCGTCCCCGCCGTCATAACCTCCACCCCCGGAGCTCGATCCTCCAAAGTTGCCCCATTGAGTGGGGTCATACCAAGAGGGGGGTGGTGGTGGTTGAGCCATGGTGTGGAATTGGCCTTGATGAGCCATGTAAGAATACATAGGTCCATAGAACCTACGTTGATCTTCTTCATACTTTCGGTTGTCTTCGGCCCGTTGCTCCTCTAGTCTTTGAAATCCCGCCCTTTGTTCCTCCCGATATTTTCCAACTTCATTGGTAACTTTGTTGAACCCTTCAAGGAGTTGTTGGAAGTAATCGGGGGGTGGGAAAGCTTGGTTCTGTTCGGGCATGTGGTGAAGTGCATCCTCGGGTTCTTGTTGCTCGGGTTGAGGTTCTTGGTCAGGTTGATTTTCGGGGGGTCTGGGGCTTGAGGCTCTTGGAAATGTGGTGGGAGGGCGTGAGGGAATAGGTAGTGAGGCTCCTCGAACTCCGGTTTGTAGCGTAGTTTGGGGGTGTCTTGGCTTGGCATTAGGAAATATTGGACAGGTTGGAGGTGTATGATCCAATTGTACATGTTTTTTGGTTGGTCTCCAATATAAACCGTATGGGAAAACGATGTACATCCCGAGCGTCCTAACCAACCCATATCCATCAAGCAATAGTCAGGTATAGGAGAGTTATCCGTATACCCAAACTTACTTGCCAAGTGCATTATCACTCCACCTACAACTATGGCCCCTTTTGCTAAGCTTTCTTTTTTCAAATGTGCCCACATGAGATTGCACAGATTAAAGTCCACGTGACGACGGAATAAGGCCACGGACATCAAACACACGTCCCCGATTCTAGTGTGATGGTTGTTGGGACGGCCAAGCAAGCAATTTGCTAAGAATTTCAAGAACAACCGGAGAACGGGGTGTTGGACATGACTAATATACATTTGGGATGAACTAAATTTCACTTCCCCGGTCATCTTTGTCCATAGGGAGTGCCCGAAAATGGTGGTATCCGAGATGGCTCTCTCGTAGGGCACGGGGATGCCAAAATGTTCGGCAAACTCAAGTTTTGTAATCGAATAGTTTTGATTGAACAAACGAAACTTGAGCCTATCATCCCTAAAGTCATCCTCATCACTCTCAAATTGCACCGAGCTTATGAATTCATAGATAATTCTTTCATTCGAGTTGTATTCCATTTTGAAAATACGGTCCATACTCAACTCATGAAAGAACTTTTTCATACTCTTATACACACCCAATTCATGGAGAGCATTGTGGCATAGAAAACGAGAAGGTTTTACTTGCCTTTTAATCGTTGAGAGGAGTCTAGCCCGGTGCTCGTTATCGGCGGGAATGAGGTCCTCAAAGCCCGGAATAGGTGCCATGGTGTTTGAACTCTCTCCCCTATTCTTCCTTGGAGCCATTTGTGAAGCTTTGGAGCTCAAAAAGTCAAAAATTCGAATGGGGGTAGGGTTTTTTGGATTTGGTGGAAGTTTGGGAAAAATGGGATTTTTGGGTATAGATATGGAGAGGAGAGGGAGGGGAGTATTTTGGTGGTGGAATGGGTTGATTTGGTGGAGAATTGAGAGAGATATGGTAGAGAGAAGGGTTGAAAATGGAGTTTGGGGGAGAGGGGGTTCGAAATTTTGGGAGTGTTGGGGAAGATGAAGTGTTTTGGGGTGTTGTTGGGGTTAAATCCGCAGGTGTACCCGATCGAGTATCCCTGTATACCCGATCGGGTACCGGAGACAGGGGTTAAGGGAAGTGGTTTTTCTGCTTATACTCGACCGAGTATGGAAGGTTACTCGATCGAGTACTGGAGGCAGGGATTAAATAAAGTAGTTTTTCCCGTTATACTCGACCGAGTATCAACCTGTACTCGATCGAGTACTGGAGACAGGTTTTTTTTCTTCTCATTTCAGCTCATACTCGACCGGGTACAATAATATACCCGATCGAGTATGCCTCTATTTTTGAAAAAATTTGGTTATTTCGATCGAGTACTGAACTTGGGTTCTTCTTTTCAGTAATACCCGCCCGAGTATGTATCAATACTCGAGCGGGTATATCCCCAGGTATCATTTTTTTTTTGTGTTTTTTTTTTATTTTTTTTTTGTTTTTAAACTCACACACTCTACTTGATAAAATGATACAGAAAACATACCTTGCTTGGGTTGCCTCCCAAGAAGCGCTTTGTTTAACGTCGTGGCTCGACGATATCTTCGTTTCTCCTTTATTCATAGACCGGTTCAGAAAGGTCTATGATCTCCACGTTCTTGGGTTGAAAACCCTCAACGAAGGGTTTTAGTCTCTGTCCGTTCACTTTGAGCACTCTCCCATCTCCGGGTCTTCAATTTCCACCGCCCCGTATGGATAGATTTTGACCACTTTGTATGGTCCGGTCCAACGGGATCTCAACTTTCCCGGGAATAGACGAAGGCGTGATTGAAATAGGAGGACTTTGTCATCAAGTTTAAAATCCTTCCTTATGATCATTTTATCATGCCACTCCTTCGTCTTTCTTTTGTAAATCTCCGCATTGTCATAAGAATCCAGGCGGAGTTCTTCCAATTCTTGTAATTGGAGCTTCCTATGTATACCGGCCTCGTCAAGATTGAGGTTGAATTCTTTTACCGCCCAATATGACTTGTGTTCAAGCTCTACGGGAAGGTGACAAGCTTTTCCAAACACAAGTCTATAAGGTGACATACCGATTGGGGTTTTGTAGGCGGTTCGGTATGCCCAAAGTGCATCATCAATGCGTATACTCCAATCCTTCCTGTTCGGGTTCACTGTTTTCTGGAGTATAGATTTCAACTCCCTATTCGAGGTTTCCGCTTGGCCATTGGTTTGAGGGTGGTAAGCGGTGGAGATCTTGTGAGTCACACCATATTTCTTTAGTAGGGATCCCACAATTTTATTACAAAAATGTGTGCCTCGATCGCTTATTAAAATTCGAGGGACCCCGAACCTTGAAAATATGTGTGATTTGAGGAAACTAGCTACCACCTTGGCATCATCAGTTTTTGTTGCTTTTGCCTCCACCCATTTGGAGACGTAATCTACTACAAGAAGGATGTAGATGTTACCTTGAGAGTTTGGGAAAGGTCCCATGAAGTCAATACCCCATGCATCGAAAATTTCACAGAAAAGCATGGGGTTTTGTGGCATCTCGTTCCTCCTTGAAATGTTGCCCGCTCTTGGGCAATTGTCACAAGATTGACAAAAGCCATGTGTATCCCGGAATAGACTCGGCCACCAAAAACCACTTTCAAGAATTTTCATTGCCGTCCGTTTCGGGCCAAAATGTCCCCCATAAGCGTAAGAATGGCAAAACTCTATTATGTGGGCTATCTCATATTCGGGGATGCATCTTCGGATTATTTGATCCTTGCAATGCTTCCACAAATAGGGGTCATCCCACACATAGAGTCTTGAGTCCCTTTTTAATTTTTCTTTTTGAGATTTTGAGAATTGTGGAGGAAATTTGCCGGAGACAAGGAAGTTTACAATGTTTGCGTACCATGGTTGTATGACTTTGATGGAGAAGAGAGTCTCGTCCGGAAATTCGCCTTTTATGAGATTGGTATGGAGACCTTCGATTTCTTTGTTTGGAACCAAGCGGCTCAGATGATCGGCCACCAAGTTCTCCGCTCCTTTCTTGTCTTTGATTTCTATGTCAAACTCACTCAATAGAAGGACCCATTGAATGAGTCTTGGTTTCGCCTCTTTTTTTGTCATTAGGAATCGGAGAGCGGCATGGTCGGTGTATACAATCACTTTCGTTCCAAGGAGATAGGAACGAAATTTCTCCAAAGCAAAGATCACCGCTAGCATTTCCTTCTCGGTAGTGGAGTAGTTCTTTTGTGCTTCATTGAGAGTTGATGAGGCATAGTAGATGACATGAGCAGCCCTTCCAACCTTTTGGCCTAAAACAGCCCCCACCGCATAATCACTTGCGTCACACATGATCTCAAAAGGAAGAGACCAATCGGGAGCTTGTATGATTGGAGCGGTTACCAACCTTGCCTTCAAAGTGTCAAAAGCCTCCTTGCATTCGTCATTGAGATCAAATTCCACCTCCTTTCGCAAAAGTTTGCATAAAGGAGATGAGATTTTGGAGAAGTCTTTGATGAACCTTCTATAGAATCCGGCATGTCCAAGGAAAGAGCGGATGTCCCGTACATTTGTTGGGTACGGGAGCGTTTGGATGACATCAATCTTGGCCTTGTCTACTTCAATGCCTTTTGAAGAGATCACATGCCCAAGAACAATCCCTTGTTCCACCATAAAGTGGCATTTTTCAGAATTTAGGACAAGGTTGGATTCAATACAACTTTTGAGCACAAGGGTGAGATGGTAGAGGCAAGTGTCAAAAGAGTCCCCATGAATTGTAAAATCATCCATAAAGACCTCCATGAATACCTCCACAAATTCGGAGAAGATGCTCATCATACACCTTTGAAAGGTGCCCGGTGCGTTGCATAATCCAAAGGGCATTCGTCGGTAGGCAAAAGTGCCAAATGGACATGTGAAGGTTGTTTTCTCTTGGTCCTCCGGGGCTATTGGTATTTGGAAATACCCGGAGTAACCATCAAGAAAACAATAGAACTTGTGCCCCGCTAGCCTCTCTAGCATTTGATCAATGAAGGGCAATGGAAAGAAGTCTTTTCTAGTTACCGAATTGAGCCTTCGGTAGTCAATGCAAACTCGCCACCCGTTTTGAATTCGGGTGGGTACCATCTCGCCTTCTTTGTTCTCAATGACCGTCACTCCGGTCTTCTTTGGCACCACTTGGGTTGGACTCACCCATTTGCTATCGGAGATGGGAAAGATGATTCCCATTTGAAGTAGTTTGATCACCTCCTTTTTCACCACCTCCATCATGGGTGGATTCAATCTTCGTTGCGGTTGCCTCACCGCTTTGGCCTCGTCTTCAAGTAGGATACGGTGCATGCATGTGGATGGACTAATGCCTTTAATGTCGGCAATAGACCATCCAATGGCCAACTTGTACTCCTTGAGGACCGCAATCAATCTTTCCTCTTGTTCCTGGGCTAAGGCATTTGAGATAATCACCGGTAGAGTGTGATTTTCGCCCAAGAACACATGTTTCAAATTTTCAGGAAGTGGTTTTAATTCCACCTCCGGTGCCTGCAAAACAGATGGTAGCGGCTTCTCGCTTGGGATGGTTAGTGGGAGGGCTTTAGAGCCCGGTGGCAAAAGTGGGAGTTGATTTAACTCCGCCACCATAACCTTCATGTTATTTGACATAGAGTATTCCAAAGTGAAATCCTCTACATCATTCTCAATTGAGCTTAATATTTCATCTTTTCCCTCAATTTCAAATACATCTTGGACCCAAGTGTCACAAGTATCAATGGCAAAAAGAGAGTGATTATCGGTGGGATATTTCATGGAGTCATAGATATTAAATTCAACTTTCTCACCATCGAACTCCATGGTTAGTATTCCACTAAAGACATCAATTTTTGCTTTGGCCGTCTTTAAAAAGGGTCTTCCTAATAAAATAGGGACTGCATTTTTATCGTTCTCCATTTCGAGAACGTAAAAATCAGCGGGAAAAATTAAATTATCCACCATGACGAGTACATCCTCTACTACACCTTTCGGGTAAGCATTGGATCTATCGGCAAGTTGGATAACAACCCCCGTTTCATGTAAAGGGCCTAGTTCTAGGGACTTATATAGAGAATATGGGATGACATTGATTGATGCACCCAAATCTAACATAGCCCTCGAAAAACTAGAATTTCCAAGTTTACATGGTATAGTGAACATTCCCGGGTCACTATACTTTTTAGGCAATTTCTTTTGAAAAACGGCCGATACTCTTTCACTCACTTGGATTTTATGCTTTCCATTTAATTTGTGTTTCCGTTTAATTGTGCAAAGCTCTTTTAAAAACTTTGCAAATCTAGGAACACCTTTAATTAAATTGAGAAGAGGGATATTTACCTCACATTTGCTGAAGGTCTCATAGATGTCCTTGTCATTGTTGTATTTTCGGTTGTCTTTGAGAGCCTCCGAAAAAGGTGGCACCGGCTCGTATGAATCGAGCGGTGGAAACTTTCTTTGAGGTGTGGTTTCCTCCTCCTTCTCCTCTTCATTTTGAGGATTTGTGCTTGGCACCAAGATATCCTCCTCCTCCTCTCCAACATGGCTCTTTGCTTTTGCCTTAGCCATAACCAATTCTTTGCCACTTCTCAAAGTGACCGCGTGAGCTTGTTGCCTTGGATTCGGCTCCGTTTGAGATGGGAGTTTTGCCGAATCCTTAGCTTCAAGTCTACTCACGGCATTTGAGATTTGGCTCATTTGATTTTCCAAGTTGTGGATGCTAGATTTTGTTGTTTCTTGGAATTGGGTCACACTTTGTTGCATCGTGGCCATGTTCATGGCCAGTGATCGAATCATGTCTTCGGTGGACATGCTCGAGTTCGATGTTTGCCCTTGTTGTTTATATAGTTGAGGGGGAGGGTTTGATTGTTGAGGAGGTTGAGAGTTTCCGTACCTTAAGTTGGGATGATCTCTCCATCTCGGATTGTAGGTGTTTCTGTGAGGATCATACCTCCTTTGGCCTTGGAAACCCAAAGCATTGACTTGCTCGGGGTTCTCCTCTTGAAGTGTTGGGCAAGAATCGGTGGGATGCCCTTGTGTCGAGCATATGCCGCAGACCTTGACTTCTTGGGTTTTTGGATTCAAAAGAAAATCTTTAACCAAAGAAGTCAAGCCGGCCACTTGACTTTCCAACGAGTTGTTGGATTCCGCTGCCATAACTCTTTTTGATGATGACCTCCCATTGTAGTGTCTTGAGTTTTCGGCTAATTCCGAAATGAGGTCTCTTGCTTGGGAAGGGGTTTTGTTAACAATACCCCCTCCGCATGCCGCATTCACCATGCGTCTATCTTGATCAACAAGCCCATCATAGAAGTAGAGGATGAGATCTTGTTCCGAATACCCATGATATGGGCAACTAGCGCATAATTTTTTAAAGCGCTCCCAATATTCGTACAAGGTCTCATCATGTGCTTGCTCAATGTTGCTAATTTGCTTTTTGAGACTTGAAGAGATAGATGCGGGATAGTACCTGTCGAGAAAGCTCTTTTTCATTGGAGCCCATGTGTTGATGCTACCCGAAGGAAGATAGAAAAGCCAATCCTTCGCGGTGTCTTTTAGAGAGAAAGGAAAAGCCCTTAGCTTGATTTGTTCCTCGGATACGCCATTGGGGCACATGCTTGTGCACACAATATGGAATTCCGATAGATGTTTGTTCGGGTCTTCCCCCCGTAGACCATGGAAAGAGGAAAGTAGATGAATGAGCCCAGATTTTAGCTCAAATGTGACCCCGTATCAAGAGTTGGAAAAGTGATACACAGGGGTTTTTGATTTAGATTCGGAGCTGTGAGCTCCCTCAATGTTCTCGTTTCATGAGCCATAGTGATTGGCTCTTCGGTCTCGCTAGATTGAGAACTAGCACTTGATGATTCTCCCGAGTCTGAGTTTGAGAACTTGTTTTTCAGCCGCTCGAGAGTTTGTTCTATTTCGGGGTTTGAGTGGTATGTGATTTCGTTCAGTGAACGATATTTTAGCATGTACTACAAAGCTCAGAAGAAATAGAAATCTTTATACTTGAACCATATTTTTTCTTTTTCTTAAAATAAAATAAAAAGAAAAATTAATTGCCTTTCCCCGGCAACGGCGCCAAATTTGACGTGCACTTTGTCGTGCGTGCACTCAAAATAAATCAATACTAACACTTATACGTAGTATAGGTGAAGTAGAGTTCGTATCCACAGGGAAAGGAACAACTTTCTTTTTATGTAAATAGTAAATAAAGGGGGGTTTTGATTGTTGAGTGATTTAATTAAATTAAACACGAAGATGAACGAGTTATATGGGATTAAATTCAAGAATAAAAGGGACTTGGTCTTGCTACTTTCCACTTGTTGATATATTTTAGTCGATCATTGTTATATCTGTAACTTATCCCCTCTCGAATACTCAATCGAGGAGTATATCCAATTCATCGAGGTAGTTATTAACAACGACCGTTCATTAATAACCCTTACTATTTATCAAATATAGAACAACGCCGTATACCGATATAACAGTAGCTTTTAACCTCTTTAACTCCTTGATGAAATCAATTAAGATTGATAACCTCAACACAACAGTTTCGGTTTAACCAACAAAATTAATCCCTCTTAAGTTTATTAACCACGACCGTGCATTAATAAACCGAAGTTACTTACTTATGAAACCATCAACGTTTAACCATAGGTTCGTTGAACGTTTCTAGTAATAATCAATGTTGGAACGTTAACTAATCGTCACTTAGCCACCCTCCAACATTAATATAGAATGAGATTAAGGGAAGAATTAATAATCAAGAGGAGAAAGTAAGAAAATAACTCACAACTTTAATAATCAATCAAGCTTTAAGAGCAAAACCAAGAAATGGAAGTTTAGCTCCTCATTTGGAGACTAAACATGCTAAAAGAAATATAGAGAAATGCTATTCTAAACTGAGCTTAAGAGTATAAAGGAATTGGTATCTAAAAGTGAAGGAAAGGAGGTGTATTTATAGGCTTTTTGAGGTGCAGGTCGGGTACTCGATCGAGTATATACATATACTCGATCGAGTATGTGTAGAACTTCGAATTCGATCCATACTCGATCGATATTCGGGTATAATTCATAGCTATACCCGATCGAGTATGTCGGTGTACCCGATCGGGTATAGACACTCGATCGTGGGAAAAATCTTCTCCTGCATGTTCCTTTGTTTTCGGATCCGATCCGATTTGAAATTTCAACCAGATACCCGATCGAATATATGTGATACTCGACCGAGTATAGACCAAAATCAGGTTTTTCCCTTTTTGTCTTGTGATTTTGCACCTTCTTTCCACTTTTGGGGTTCACCAACTATCCTTTGAGTGATGGTAGACCTGTTTGAGCTCAGAATAAACCTAATCTAAACATTTTACAAGAATTTAACAACTAAACTTTTACACCAAAAGTGTGTAATTTCCGAAATGCTAAACTACAAAAAGTAACGAAAAATGCAAACATAAACACGGAAATTACACGTGTATCAGTACCATATACGAACTCATTAACCCGACACTATGTTTGATGACATTGATTTTTTTTTTAGAAAACGGTCAAATTAGGATGTTTTTACTTGGAGTGTAATTTGCTGGTCTTGCCTGATCTGGTCTGATCTGGTTTGGACCGGTCTGGTTTCTTTGTATTTTTATAATTATCCAAGTCTGGTCTATTCTGGTCTGGTCTGGAACAGTTTACAGTCCAAGTAAAAATATCCTTATTCTGTAAAGCGTCCAATTGGCTCCTATATTTTGAAATACTCAATTCAAAATGCTCAATTCGAAATGCTCAATTCGCCCACAGAACTCTAAAAAAAGTTTCAATTCACACTTGAATTTGACAAGAAAATTCAAATCTCGTTTTTGTAGATAAAAGTTCGATCATTGCCACGTCACCTGGTCGGATGTCGACCATGAATCCCACATGGCAATTAAGGAGGCAAATAGGCCCTTGAACCCGATAAAATCGTTCACTTTTCCTCCTCAACCGTTAAAAAGCTTCAAAATTGCTATAAAAAAATGTAACATTAAAAAATAGAAAATAAAAATATAAAGAGAATATTATCCGAAATAGGACTAAAAAGGTTTGAAAATTCCAAAATAGACTGTCATATTTTTATTTCCAAAATAGGACTAATTACGGCCATGTTTTGGCAGTACCATACTTCAAACATGGCAGTCTATCCCAAACTTGGCAGTAATTACTCCTATTTTGGGAATAAACAACATGCCAGTCCTATTTTGGAATTTTCAAACTGTTTTAGTCCTATTTCGGGAACTTTCCCAAATATAAAATAATATACAAGTTCATAATATAAAATATAAACGACTATTTATAAAATAATAAGAAAATATTTATATTTTGCGGTAAATTAATTTTAAAAAATACGGAGTATAACAAAAATAAATTATAAATACATAATATAAAAAGTAATACTCTGTAACTATTTTCACATTATACTTTTTATATTTTTTTTATGGTATACTAGTATATAATTAGTATGAAGTGTAGTATATAATTCTAGAATAAAATAATACAAAGTATATATACATATATACATGCGTGTATGTGTAATTTTACATATAAATCTAAAGCATATTAAAAATATTTAAAAATATCAAATGAAAAGTACAACTCTAAAATATAAACATAACATAAATTGTAAAATATTTTTTATAATAACAATTATTACATATAATACACAAAATACAAATTTAATTTTAATTTTAAAAACATGTATTTCTTATTTTAAAAAAATATGTTTAAAATATCAAAATAGTTTTAATGAATTTATTTTAGTTTATTTTTTATAAATTTACCGCGAGTATAAATATATCCTTAATAGATGTCTATAATTTATACTTTTGAGTTTTATCTTATTTTATATTCTATTTTATAATTTTATTGCAATTCTTACACTTTTGAACGGTTGAGGGGGCAAATTGAACAACTCTGTCGGGTTCAAGGGTCTATTAGACCCCTTAAATTGCCACGTGGGATGCAGGGTTGACATCTAACCAGGTGACGTGGCAGTGGTCGAACTTCTACCTGCAGAAAATGAGATTTGAACTTTTTTGTCGAGTTCAGGAGGTAAATTGGAGATTTTTAGAGTTCAGAGGGCGAATTGAGCATTCTGGAAGGGTAAACAGGCCTATTTGACCCTTCAGCCAATTATTCGCTTACTATTGTCAAAGAGTCAATTGGATTTTGTACTTTTTCGTTAATCAATCAAGTCCACCAAGTGTTTGAAAACAATTTTGCTTTCAATAAGAGTAGTGAAGAAGAACGGATACATCTAAAGATTAGGTTGGTATTAAATTTAGTTAGTACTAAATTGGATTTGGTCTCTTTAGAGTGTATCTTTATGTGGCTTGAAACGTGACACTAAATATTGTGGATGCCCTAATCTGTTATGAATTTGATAAGAAGCAATATGAACCAAATTTTAGGAACTTTGTGAATTGTGATTATGAATTTATGGTATTTGTTAATTCAGAGATATTTTTGTAACTACTTACCCTTTATGTGCACGATTAAAGCCAAAAGTTATTGGAATTCTAATTTAATTTCATGAACAATTTTGGAAGTTGTTACTTATGGAATTCCATGCACTTTACTTTGTATTTTTTGCTAACTACTTACTAATAGTGTACTTGGTTCGTAAATTATAGCTAACTAATTTATCATTTTGTTATGTTTGTAACTTAATATGTTACAAATACTTGTAAAGTGTCATTGTATTTGTATTATGTAAGTTGTAATGTTGTAGCTTTGTTTTCTTTATAATTTGTACTATTTACTTTGTAATTATGCAATTTGAATGTGTTTTTCATCTAACCGATTTAATGAGAATCCGACCCGATATTCTAATATCCGAAATAATTAACGTACATTCCAAATCAGAGAGTCCGATTCAATATTTACATTATAAAATCTGAATGAGTTTAGGGTCAGCAAACTCGACCCGCCCAAACCTGATATGTGCTACCCCCTAACGACAACGTCTTCAACACCATTGTCGCCTATGCCGCTCCCTTCCTCTGCCGAAGATGGACGACGACTCCATGGACGACGAATGATGGACAAAGCAACAGACTATGACTCCATAGTCGACGGATGAAGTTTGTGATTCCTCTCCCCTTCTTGTATGTCATCCACTTTGTAACCGTGAATCAATTACCTAGGACTCATGTGCGGCAATCCAATAAACTGAGGAGAAAACTTTCTAATTAACGACAGTTAGGGTTTCTGGGGGGGACTGGCGGCAGAGGTTGGGACTTGATTGGGGGTGATGGTGGGCCGTTTTTAGGCTTATCGGGGATGGGGAGGGGTGGATTGGGGGCTGGGATGGGCTGGTTGGAGCTGGAGGTGGCTAGGGTGGGTGGTTGGGAGCAGGTCAGGGGTAGGGCAGAGGAAGGGGTTAGAGTTTGGGGTGTTGAGGGCGTGGGGATGGGGGTTGGGTGACGTGCACTTTGTCGTGTATGCACTCAAAATAATAATCAATACAACACTAATACGTAGTATAGTGTAGTAAGGTTCGTATCCACAGGGAAATGAATGCTTTTCTTTTTATAGAACTAGTAACAAAAGGGGGGGTTTTAGTTTGATTTGGTTTAATTAATTAAACACGAAGATGAACGACTTATGTGGTTTACTTAATAGAGATGAAGACTTGGCTTTGCTTTTATCCACTTAATGAAATGTTCGTCGATCCCGGTTATATCTTTAACTATCTTCCTCACGAATACTCAATCGAGAAGTATATCCAGTTCATCGAGGGTAGTTATTAATAACGAGACGCGTTCATTAATAAAACTTACTACCGAGTCAATATACAACACGTGCCGTATATTAACCCGATAGTAGCAATAAAATCAAGATGAAAATGATTGAGATTGATAACCTCAACACAAGCGGTTTATTGGTTTAATCAACATAATTAATTTATTCCCCTGGGTTTATTAACCATGAAACGCATGCATTAATAACGCAAGTTTACTACCGTGAAACCATCGAACGATTAACAAGCGTATTCGTCAATCGATTCTAGTAATAATTAATATATGAAACAAAACTTGTTGATCCTTTAAGTAATGTTCAAAATATTAATATGAAATATGAATAGGAATTAATTAATACTCAAGGAAGAATACTAAAGAAGATGAATCCTACTATAGTTAATATCAAGATGTTAACTAATTGTCATCTTAGTAACACTCCCCAATATTAACGTAGAGGAAGAAATAACTATTACTATAACTAATGTCAAGATGTTAACTAATTGTCATCTTAGTAACACTCCCCAACATTGATATAGAAATAGTATTTAAAGGAAGAATTAATATTCAAGGAAGAATATTAAAGAGAATAACTCACAACTTACAAATTCATTAAGCTTCAAAGTGGCAAAACCAAGATGGAAGAGTTTAGCTCCTCATTTGGAGACTAAACATGCTAGAAAAATATAAAAGAAATACTATTCTAAACTGAGCTTAAGAGTATGGAAGAAGGAATGGAAATTAGTGAAGGAAAAGTGTGCTATTTATAGGTGTTTTTCAACTCCTTGGACCGGGTACCCGACCGGGTCAAGTTCCCACCCGACCGGGTGCATGTCAAGATCAGATAATCTCCCACGTTCTTGTGTTTTAGCACGTTAAAAATGTCCCGGGTCAAGTCAGACCCGATAGGGTCTGGAAATTTCCTGAGCTTCTTTGTTTGTTAAATCTTACCCGACAGGGTCAAGTGTTATACCCGGTCGGGTTTCAGCTCCTGGAAAGTCCAATCTCCTTTTTCTTCACTTCAAAGTCTTCCTTTCCAACACCATAAATCCTAACTCTACTTTACAACTTACAAATGAGAACTAAAATACAATTACAACTAAAATCACACAAATGTTTACAAACTAAATAAAATGGTAAACAATCCACACAAATCAAACATAAAAACATAAACTTATGCACTACTAATTAGTGCATATCAAACACCCCCACACTTGAACTTTTATTCGTCTCGAGTAAACCAAACCTAGTCCAAGAAGTCCCTAAAGTAGCAAGAGTATCCACACAAACATCGAAGAGTGTTTTAAGAACAACACAAAAAATATCCCCAAAAACATAAGAGTAAAAAGGGGTCTTCAGCTCCATATTTCTTATCAATCTCAATTTTTTTTTCGTTACCTGATATGCACTAATTAGTAGTGCATAAGTGTATGTTTTTATGTTTGATTTGTGTGTATTATTTATCGTTTTATTTAGTTTGTAAACATTTGTGTGATTTTAGTTGTAATTGTATTTTAATCTTGATTTATAAGTTGTAAAATAGATTTAGGATTTATGGTGTTGGAAAAGAGGACTTTGAAGAGAATAA